GTATGATTAATTGTTTCACTTAGTTAAACAATATCCATAAGGCATCATGCAATACAGAATTGTTCTACGCGAAATTGATTTTCACTTTCCCCAATCACTTCGCACGAACTATGAATTAACACATTGAAATCTCCACTGAGCCTCGGTAGAAAGTGTATCGAGTATCACTCACAACCGGAGTATTAATTACGTGTTGATGTAAAGAATGGCACGTCAAGGCTGTTCGCGATCACGCTGAAAGTTACAATGCGCCATTATGTGACGTGCCAACAACGGACAGTATACATGGACAGTTGGCTGAGGCTACGACCAAGCATGTTGATTGGTGAATGTCTGGGTTCAGGGTATGGTAATATTCTATTGAAACTCTGGCTGGACAATGTTTCTGTTTTCGCAATTAGACTAGCATTTAGTTTGTTTTTTTGTAAAGGAACGGCCCATACTTTGGACGATTCCAATAGGACCCAGGATTTGACGCTGGGCTATCAATTAATGATCCTATCTAACGAAAGGTCGACTTTAGTATCAAGACCAGGAAGTGGGCCATTTTATTGCAACAACTTTGACACTGTCTTTGTATGCACACACAAAACACAAAGCATGGTGGCAACGACACTGTACAATTAGGTTTACTAGATCAACCTAATTGTACAACACATTGGGTCTACGGTTAGGTGAAATGTTTTACAATGTCACATTGATTGATTCACAGTCATATTGCTTAGTTTCTTGGCATTAGAATTAGCTGAGCTTGTATTTTTACCCCTAAGAGCTTGGTGAACATCGTGATCACCGTTTAGACTGGCCGTATATTAGTGCTATTAGTTACTCGCAGAAAGCACATTCCTGCCCTGCCCAACGCCATTTATTATTTGACCAGTTGAGGCCGCGACGTCGGAGGTCATTTCTGTGATTGACGACGCTACAGATGGAGCTCCAGTCTTCTCTGAGAGTCTTTGTCGTCTGCAGAGTCATACTGAGCGCCTTCTTTCTCCCAAATGGATCGTGGTTTGAAGGATACGACCTCGGTAGTTTCCGGGAAAACACGTGTCCACTTTGCGCTAAATAACAAATTACCTGTATTTATTATGTTCACATACATTAGTAAACATAAGTGAAAACGTAAATATCTACCTTAGACACTTTATAGTTAAACCTATGCAATATTTGAGAATTCCTTTATGTAGCTATAAAAGCATTCCTTGGTGCCTAAGTGTCAAACTTTATACCAAATTATGGTTTATGAGGTCCTTGAGCCCGTTTCAATTTACTTGGTGAAGTATTCCTATTACAAATTCTTAGTTGCCATGTAGGCCTAATGGCTATGTGTAAAGAGTTCACAAATTTAGCTTAGTGATGTTTTGTACTCGCTTGACAATCTAAAGGTATTGATTAGATTTTGGGAATAGTTAGTAGGTAGGTTTTTAATGGTTCTGATGATTTATCCAGGCTGGCCATCAGTTCCACGTACACCATCCAGCTTTCTCTTGGTCTTGTCAAAAAATGTCTGGTCTTCAAAACAAAACTTATAATCTCACTCCATTTTAATTTCACCCTCCATTCAAATTTAGCTAAAGTTGAGTATCTGGGACAGGTTAGTTGTTTTAAAAGTAATAAAACAAAAACAACCATTGACTCTGAAAATCTTTGAACAATAATAAATGTAAACTGCATGTTATTTTTAATCAGGTCTATCTAGTAGCATGAAACAACCGTATTCACTATAAACCCTCTATTAATTAATCCTTAATTAATTAATGTGTCTTCCGATTGGTGAAGTCTTTACATATATTTTTCAATGTTGTATCAACTACCAACAGCATTAAAATCACTGTACTGTAGCTATAATGGTAAAGTAATAATTAAAGCAGCCAGCGCAGTGCGCATGCGCGAGGCCGGAGCATGCGCGGTGGAGGCGCGCCTAACGGTGAGCCAGCTGCGCAGCGCTGCGCCCATGGCAACCTATTTATTATCACAAACCAGCACCAATTTCGGCAAACCGTGGCCCTACGTCGTCCATCATCGCAACACTACCGTCTCTTGGCCTACTTCACGTATCGGCCCTACATCTTCGTCGCATTCCTGCCGAGAAACAATGGCCTGGAAGTTGTTGAAAAGCAACTGTACATGTTTTCAAACCTTAATTTGTATTTTATCACTAACCTCCCGACTTTAATCTTGCTATGTCTTATGTAGAACAATACGAGTAAAATAATGTTATGGGTTGGTTGGTTTCAAAACGGGCTTTGAATATGGGGAAGTTAAATCCTCTGTAAGCGAAACTAGAGGGGTTTCTGTTAAAAGCGTTTTCAAAACTATCGTTGACACTAAAAATCATATTCTTGCCTCTGATTGGTGAGCGGGAAGTGATAAATTGTACAGTCAATATAATTTGAATACCCTACTGAAACTGTGTAGTTACAAGTTACAGTTACACTGAACTTCTATCATACATTTTAAATTTGAGTTCGATACAATATTCGTCACAAGTAAATGGATTAAAATATATTCTTCTTAAACTCTAGAAATTTAAACTATACGTAGGAAGACCAGAAATAGGATGTTGAGTAGTATCTTCAAAAGTTATTTCGTATTTACTCTTTCTGTACTTCCAAACTCTTGCTTGTACAACTTTATCGTCGCAGACCCCTTTCTGCTTTGGTGTTTTACTTTTAATTCAATAAATCAACATCTAAATCGTCTTAACACGTCTTAATAAAAATCACCGAGTACCAAGTCAAAGTTTTTCCAATTCTTCAAGAACCCCTCTATAACAATAACAATACCTTCCATTGATGGGCGCACTCAGAAGTTTGCCGGTTCGACTGGAGACAATGGGTTGTTGCCGCAAGGCTCGGATGGTTCACATTCACAGAGGGTCCGGACAATCAGGTGACGCAACCCTGGGAAGTGTTCAGAGAGTTCACGACTTTCCTCATCGTCCACGTAAACTAGGTCCGAGACAATACACCAGTCGTCAATAATTGCGGTGCAACACCAGCGAGTGATTACGGTCCTCAGTCGAGGGAATACTGGAAATGCTCGTAGTTCTGGCGTACCTCAGGGTGCTGTAATAGGCCCGCTTATCTTTTTAGGCCTACATGTTTATGTAGAGATATCTGTTTGGATTTGTACAGTTGGACATGCATCTAAACTTTAAAAACTGTCTATAATGTCTGAACTATATTGGAAATCCTACAGGTTCCATTGGTGTACCCAAGGACGCTGATAGTCCCGCTTATCTTTGCTTTATATGTTTTAAAGCTTTAAACTCTTTAGTTTGGCAAAGTTTGCCATGTGAAAGAAAACTGTATGTGTGCTATACAAACCGCCGAGTTATATTGGTGTATCTCATGGAGCTGTAATAGGTCCGCTTATGTTCGCTATACGTGTTCATTTAGAGCTCAAAACATAATATTTCTTCACGAAGTTTGCCATCTATCTAGTAATTGAAAGCTCAAATTGCCTGTCTGTAACATTTTGTCACTTCTTTTTCCACATTAAACAATTTTATGCCCATTAGCGACGGAACTAGCAATCTTCGAGATGACAAAAACTATTTTGGGAAGTCGACGCTTACCATCAACCTGTGGACAAGTCGTTTCTCAACGAGTTATGTCACGGAACCTTGATGTCGTTATAATGACCACTTTTACTTTCATGGTTCACAAAACACAGGGTTATCTCGGCTATTAAATGGTTCTTTTGGACTGGTTTGGTGATTTCATGCCGTTTTGTGACTATCACTGCGTTTTAATTTGCAAACAAATTCCCTCGACTGTATCCTAACTTGGGCATCGTGTTTCCCTGAACATCCTTATCGGATTAATTTATAGCTTGTATTATTTTGCACATATGTTTTGAAAGCGTTTTGTATAATCTTGTTGTACCTAGAAAGTAAAGTTGATATCTATAGTAAAGTTGAAAGTAATATTTTATCTAATTTTTTGTATTAAGTTATAGTACAATACTCTTAAAATCCAGGCATTAAAGGAAATGTTGGTTAGTTGTGTGTTTGACCATTAAATATTAGCATTTTGTAAATTTTGTCGTCAACTTTATCTCGTCAGGTACACTTTAACATAGCAAGATTATCCAGTTTAACAAATAGTCTTGGATATCCTACATGGTTACCTAATGTACTTTATCTATGGAAGAGAAATGGATTGCGCAAAATCTCAAGCGAGAGACAACCTATTCATATCGTATCGTATATCATCAAAAGACCAAAAAGAATTTTGGCTTCTGACTTTTCTTGGGCCACAGTTCGCATATATTGACTTAATGACAAAATTAACATTTTCTTTAAACCGGTTAAAAGAGCAAATGTTGAAATATATTTTTTAAATACTACTCCTCTGTCTACAACAACATAATTTTACGAATTGCAAGTAGTCTTGTACGGCTGAATGTGCTCTGCACACTTCGGCCCGTAAACTCCTTGGTATAATGTTAGATCTAGTTGGAGGTAGAAGCAGGAAGAAAGTTTCACCGCGTCCCAGGTCCCAGGCCCATAATTACCTCACTTAAACTGTAAGTCGACCCATCCATCTGCATATCAGGTTAGCGCTTGCGCAAGTTGTAGATTGCGGTGAACCGACAACGGGTATCAACAGATCAATCGTCGTGCGAACCGTTGGTTTTTATTTAACTTAGTCAACGACGCTAAGGTCAAACCACAGGAAAAATTATGTGCCCTAATAAAGAGTTGTCATAGCAATACACTTTTAATTTTTTACGCTGTGTTTTCAAGACCGGGTGAGGAGTCAGAGTTCAAAATACTCCAGATTTTCGTTGGTAGATCAATCTACAGAAGTTTTAATTTGTCTTACTTTTAGACACCCATTTGCCTCTTGTGGTACAGATTTACTCTTCTTGACTACCGATAAAGTTGCGAAAATAATTGTCTGGATATGGCAATATGAACCGATGGATATGGTTGTTTATAAGACTCAAAATCATAGCTTAAAAAAATCATAACATTAAAACATTTCTCCAGATATAATACAACAAACAGATTTATTTCAATGAAATTGAACTTATGATTTTCTTCGCTTTACTTTTGCTTTTTGCTTCTGCGCTTCAGGTGCCGGTATATAATCCTCTTGGGTGATGGGCTTGAATATAATTTGTCTTGTGTGATCCTGGAATAAGAGGTTTCGTCAATAGTTACTAAGCTTCTGTAGATTTCTACTAAAATCCAACACTATACATACATTCAAATTTGCCAATTCCGACTTACCAAATTGGAGCGTCTTTTACACCAACTTGTAAGCTGTTGGTGGGTTTTTAGTGATTTGCTTTGGCGTTCTTCAAGATGAAGTACAGTACTACATTACCGCGATTGCTTTGATCACGTAAGGAGCTTTTTGTTAATATCCACACTAAGGCTCAGTCATCACCTACTCTTACCTGCAGTTGTTTGCCAAGATCTGCTTGCAATTCTCCTCTGGTGTTCTTGAGGATGAAGTACGTCTACATTACTTCGACGGCTATGTAAATTCACTCAGCATTATGTGCCTACATTGGACTTTATGTTGTCACTTACTGCTACCTGAAAGCTTTTTCTGGGATCTTCCAGTTATTCTCTGGGGTTCTTTGGGCCATTATCACGATGTCTATATGAACATCCGCTGAGCATCGACACATACACTGAGCCCCCTACTCATACCAGAAAGCTGTTGGTAGGATACTCCAGTTCCCCTTTAGTATTTTTGATGATGAAGTAGGACATAACTGCGATCGCTATGAAAATTCGCTGAGCTTTATGTAGACCCCTACACGGAGATTTATGTTGAGACTTACTCCTACCTGAAAGCTGTTGCTAGGATCCTCCAGTTCCCCTTTAGTATTTTTGATGATGAAGTAGGACATAACTGCGATCGCTATGAACATCCACACGCTGAGCTTCACTCCGTTGATGATTCTCTCCTGCATTACAGGTCCCGGAAGCCATTTGCTTCGCGGCCCTCCATACGATCTGCGCGCCTCGTATACCTAACAGATCATACAATTGTACAATTCTATTGTGGAAAATTCTCTGTCTATCAGATACACTTATAGCAATTTTAGATGGATGTACTTTTAAATCAGAAATTTCAGCTAATGGTGTTGAATAACCCAATGTTGGGATTGTATTAGTCTTGGAGTCGGGGACAGCAAGCCTCAGTGGGAGCGGAGATCTCTAAACATCCGAGCAGACGACGCGATCTTTTACAACTGTTTGACAGACGTCCGTTTAACGTTTCCCATTTGTCAAGCAGATGAGTGATCTCTTCCAACTTCTTGCTGTCTCCAAGATTTGCAATGAGCTGTCTTGTGAACGTTTACTTAGTGCCTTTTTCAACTATACCTCTGGGGAGCGTTCTACATTTTAAGACCTATAAAAGAACGGTCAGTATACGTGGCAGAATGAGTTTTTTTAGTAGAGATCATCACTTTGAGTACTCGATAGCAATACACGAGATAAAATAGCTCAACGTGGGTGGCCAGTTTACTGGGTCCATGCCATTCGCGGATCGTTTGGCACTGTTTGAGGCACGGGGAATGCCGGAATGCCTAATTTGTTTGTACTGAAATAACAAATTGACAGATCTTTCAACGCGTTGTGATCTATTTCTGTATTATTTAGTGAAGGTGAAAATCCTCATTAGAACACACTAAACTTAATTTATTTTTTATATTTTGGTTAGCAATTTTTAACGTTTTGTAGGGGAACGATCCAACCCCTGATCTTGTTACTATCTAACGTCATTTTTTGTTAAATAGAATCATTACTTGATAGCCCAATCACAAATAGCATCTGGGTGGAAACAATCTCGTTTGGAATCGAACCAACGACCTTCCTATTTGAAGGCGAGCACCAACCTCTTGGCCACCCAGACAAATATGCTTTTGGCTTGCGTTTTATGTGGCCAGATTATAACAAAACTATGATGATTGCATTTTAGTTTCTTCGCAATAGTAGTTGTACATAATCATACATTGACATTTAAAATATTGTGTAATTAGTTAGGTTTACCTGTCTTCTACGTCGAGATTCCTTTTCGAAAAAGCTTAGATCAGATGGGGTTATTGGTTGGGTCATGTTTGAATTCTCTAGAAGTAATCTTCAAAAACGCCAAACTTAGTTAAATACTTTAGTTTTGAGAGAACCTTTCTCAATTTCAGGTTATATTTTTGTATTTAAAATCAATAATCAGATGGTGTTAATGCAATTGTTTCAATGACCAATGACAGTGTTGTAAACGACAAGTTACCATAAAAATTGGAAATGATAAGTCAATGAATAACTATCACATGATTTTTATCGTGCTGGCATTTTATTTTAACTAGCCTACATTTTCCCATGCGCTAAACAATTTTCATAAACCAACTATTTTACGTAAAAGTACCAATTTATCTCATTTTTTGATGAAAAATTATTCCATTTCCAATATTTGGGGGTTTCAACACCAATACAATTGCTATAATTCTTATTCTATTTGACAATGAGGTTAACTTTTCATGTATTTCCTGATCATTGCTTCTTCTTGTGCCGAGTTTAATAGTTTACGGACTGACGAACTTCACTTGGCTGACGGTCGCGATCCAACAGCGTTCAACCATGAAATGAGTGCACTCATAATGACAGTGATATAACTCAGCGGCCATTCTGTTTGTGTTCAGCGTTCAGCGACCAACAGGTTGATCAGCAGAGCGGCAAAGATAGTCGTAGTTTATGTTTCCCACTTGCGGTACTTGGAAACGCTTCGTTGTCTTCGCCATGAGCTTCTAATGTGTTGACAAACTGCTTGGTTACCGTTTTGGTCTGATCTGATGTTGTATTATTTATCGAGTGTAATGTACTGCTGCATGTTTAATTCACTAATTGCTTCGCAAAGGCATAGCTTGCAGAGGATAATGACGTGGTTATTGTAAAAACGCGCCCAGCATTGATTATAGAAACAATTACCACTTATGCGTAAAATTTCTATTGGTGTGATTCAGTCAGCTGCCAAAAGATCACGTACATTGATCATATTGTGCATTTTGTTATCTTATAAACAATAAATATTTATATCTATGAACCGTTATGAACTCTATATCAAAACTTTCACGACTATGGGGCGTTACACGAAAGAATATTTCAAAAGGCCTAAGTGGTTTGTCGTATCTTGGTGCAATGATTTTACTTGGAACAAATAGTCCAACACAAACCATACCTTCCTACACTAGATTTAACAAATCAAAAGTTTCCTGATGGTCGTTTTGAAACAAAGAATCTTCAAATTGAAGCATCAAACCAGAAGAAAGTGCTCAGCATTGTTCAGCGTACTCAGCAGACGAGAATCCTTGTTAGGAACATTGGAATCGTCAAACCGCAGTTTGAGTACGTGGCTGGACCTCGTTTTCCCTATGGCTCAGGATGGTCATGGAATGAAGCTTCAACTCACTGGAGATGCTCTCACTAAATGGTCGTTATAGAGTACGTACTTTTTTGCATTAGCTTATATTATATTTAGTATTGTACTCTCAGGGGGTGGGGTGTCATAGAATGTTTCTTTAAACTTTGAGCTTTGCAATTTTACAGTAGAGCTTCCAGATACTTTTATGATGTTTGAAACTGGTCCCAGCTTTTCTTGACTGCGCTAATGGTACTGGCTTCAAAAAGAGTTTTTGTCAGTAACAAAGTTACTCAATGCATCTCACTCCATTCTACACTCATCCGTTGCTCATGTGGGTTGAGATACATCCAGTATCGTCCCAGCTCAATTAGTAATGGTAACAATACATTTTGTGATAATAGCATGGCCAGCTTGCAGTTGGCCAATGGGATGTTGTAGAACGGTCGCTATAAAATGCGCCCTTGAACTTCGTAACTGACCTTGCACAGTTATAAGTTATATAGTTTCCATCTTTTAGTGGAGGCAATGATTCAAAGCTGTTCATAACATAGCGTTGCAACTATTATTCGTTATGAGGACAAGATATATTGCGCAAACTATATCTTCTAGTGGAGAATCGTAAACAGATGATCGAGTGCGTTCCCTCAGGCGGACCGGAACCCAACCCAGGCCATTCTCTGAGGAAAGTGGAAAGTGTTTACTTCCGGTGGTCGCCATGATTCTTCCTCGTGGACACAGGGACACGCCACCGCATCCGGGAAATCTGGGACACTGGCGAAAAACTGGAGAAACGCGGGAGATGGGAAATATGTTAGATGTCTTCGGTGGGTTTGTGTAGTCTGCATCGCCTGTGTAGAGATAGTTTTCAACAAGTTCACCAAGTTCAACAAGTGTCTCCTCTGTTGTATTTGTTGGATTATTGTTACATAAAGATCACTAAACTGTATTATTTTCTGTGCTGCATAGGAAGTTACAAATATTTACATCGGTAATTTTTAGTGTTTAGAACATAACTAATTTGTTAACAGTAGCATTATTTGAATGCAATTTAAAAGAGTTTCTTAGTACAGGTGGAACAGGCAGCTATGAGAGTGTTACCGGTACCGTGTTACTTAATGTTGAAAGTTAGATTGTTATTTTTTTAGTTTTTAACGGGTTTCTAACGGTTTTACTAGGAAGATATTAGAAGAGTTCACAAAGTATTAGTATACAAAGTAGAAAACAAAAACAATGTTTTAAAATTATTATTAGTCAATTCCAGGGTAGTATATTATGTCTGGAACTCTTGTGTGATAATCGTTGATGATTATATTGACTTTAATTTAATAAATGTTAAACATTAGACAAAATAAATCAATCTAATGACTTAAAGTAGGTAGCCAACATTATGTCAGTGTTTGGTTTAGCATTTCTTCAAGATAAGGACTTGAGTCATTCCTGGTTTCTTGGTAAGTTTCTTGGTAAAGAGGAGATGATATTGTGACACAGTTTCTTACAGTAATTAAAGTATAATTCTGAATTGATACAGTTCTACAGTATTCACCCGTTATTTCGCGTTAACTCATGCCATATTCTAAGCAAGATAACCCGCCCTACATCAGTTTCTTTGCATTTCCTCTCTATAAACCTCAAACGCACCCATTCACTTTCGTAGCCAACGTTTACCATGTCGTTACCGTGTTTAGAAGCACGTAAAGCACATCAGGGAAAGCGTTCTAATTGCCAACACACATTACGTGGTCGAAAGAATGCGAAGATTAATTGGGCATTTATAATTGGCTGTTTGGCTCGTTTTCCCGCCTCCGCACCGAAATACTGCCTCACCTGCTGCACAGAGGCAGTCTAGGTATTTTGAGATTTTGCACAGTCTCCCGCCAAATGCTTGTATTTGGCGGGTTTATAAAGGTGTCACGACTATCACGTTCTTCAGTTACTCTAAGAATACTTGCAGCCGTAGATGCACCAGCACTCGAATCAGTTTTAGACTTCGTGTCGTCGAGTCTTTGAACTATTTTGTTGATCCGGCAATCCGATTCTATGACTTAAGTTTCGTTATCCGGTAGCTTTTTGGGAGGGATTTGAATGGCCTGTCCAATTTCGAATTAATTTATTTTATTAGGATTAGTTGGCTTAGAAAATTTAGGAAATAAAGAACAATGTGGTGAAACAGTAAAATAACAATGGGAAGTTAATCAAATTGGCACCATTTTATTTTATGATGGTAAATTTTTGGCAAGGTAAATTTTAATCCAAATACGAATACAAGACGAATGTGAGATTTGATTCAGGTAAGATGCCCTGAGTAGCTTTGTTAAAGAATAAAACCACCCTGTTCCATAGTCTGGAGCACTTATCCACCATGTTGAGATGTGATTTGTACAAAGGTTGTTAACAGTTTTTCAGTTTTTAACGGTACTCAGGTTGGTAAAACACCTGAGCTTACATTGGATCCGATTTTCTTCACCAAGTTCATTTACCCGGGTGACGGGGTGAGTTTTGGCGGGTAATGACAGTGTACTCTCTAGTAAAAGCTCTCTTCTCTCAGCTCTCGGCTCACTGGCAACTCATTAATACACTTTCTGCGCGTCCATTGTTGGCACTTTCTTCACGCGTGCGCGAGATTGGCTCGAGCGATCAGCTGATTGTCAGGTCACGTGGTCCGACCTGGGCGATTCATTGTTGTGATCAGCTGATTCGATAGTCAGCTGGCAGCTCGATTGATTGGCAACTTCGACAGCCGGTTTGCGTTATGGTTAACGACGGATCATTACTTGACTGATATACAGATAAAAAATTATTGGAGTGAATACTCAAGAAGTTAAAGTTGTCAAAAATATCTAGTAGCACAGTTCTGTGTACCGATTAAGAATTACTTCAACAGAACCTCTGTAGTATTGTACGCGTAATATAACGGTAATCTCATAAAAATGTCAGACTTGCCGAACACATTAACGCTACCTATGTGTAAACATGTTTGTAATTTTTAAATATTTATTTTCAGAAAGATTAATTTGCCACAAAATTGAAGAAAAAAATTTGAAACCAACGTTGGTCGATGCATGTTCGATTCCCAACGGAGTCAACTCTGCACTCAGATGTCATTTGCCATAGGCTACCCAACAGGTAACAAGACCAACGATATACAACTCAAGACTAGGATTTGGGTAACCTAAGCAACGTAAAAATGCCAAGGGTGTCAAACACAAAAGAAACAGCGTAAAACAAATATGTATAGCGAAGAGGGCAATGGCTTGGCCTACGGTACCACCCACAACTAACCTACTTGCATACAGATGTCATCTGGCCTATCAGCTTACCGGTGACCCCACTGACCTTTACTATAATCAGCTGATTGTCTAGCGCAGCCATATCAGGCTACTGTAAACTGCTCTCCGCTCTCTCCAGGCCGCGCATTGTTTTTGTTTTTCTCGTCGCAACTAATTACTACAACCGTTCCCGTTGCAAAAAGTTTATTGGATACGCGATACGGTTTGTGTACAATGTACAGTTACCTCATCCGGTTCCTGATTCAAGCCTGATTTGATAGATGGCGAGGTGAAAATGCTAATTAGTAAGTTGGATTTATTTTTCGCTGTTTTTTTAATGTACGATGTAAAAATATTGTTTCACTGTATTTTTTATTGCATTTAGCCTACTGTCTGGAATAATTTAGCCTTCGAAAATGATATTACACATTGAGTGTTTTTAATTTCAAAATATCATTACATTAATAATCGGAATGAAATAATATTCCCTAGTAAGTTTATACTATAAATAATATTTACGATA